TAACTAGTCTAAGGTAAGAACATATGTCAGTATGTAAAAACGGTGAACTATTCCTTTAATGCATCCAATTCAAGTAGGACCGTTTGAAAAAACTCAAAGGCATATATGAGACCCATCGAGACGGCACAGGCTCTAGCCGTATCCATGCCCTCCAGTACCTCGTTGCCCTCTATTATTATTGTTGTTGCACTGGCTGGATCAGCCCTTTTGGTTTTGCTCTTCATGACAATGGTGTCCTCTCCATTCTGCTCGTCCTCTTCCTGATAAAGTTATTAAAGGAAGTCAATAACTAAGAATGTTTCTTTCAAGATTGTTTCAATATCAACCCAGAATAAGGACAAATAAACAAATGAAAAGCATTGATTTGCCAATGTTTTTGTTTGAAAAGTGAACGTTGAGATTAGAGTTACCCACCTCAAGAAGATCGTTCTCCTTTTCGCAAAGATAGACAACCAAGCATTTGTCTTTCTAATGTATCGCCCTGAAAAGAAGAAAAACAGAAATGTTTAAGTATACTCAGGAGCAATAGAATAGCCATGACAAATGTCATCTTCTGGACATCCCATAATAAATATGAAACATGTCAATTACAATTACAGAGAAAAAATTAAAGGATCTAATTGTGTATGTAATCATCTTATGATAAAAAAATTAAAGTCCACTTCACAAAGTGATTCGTGCAAATTCTGCTATTATTATGTTGACTACATATGAATGTACACACATTAAAACATGTTTATTACCTAGGTTAGTTTTCCTTGAAAATATCCACTTACTGTCCCTACCTGTATTGTTTTGCGGCTTACAAGGAATAGTTCAGTTCAAATGAAAAATTGACTCTAAGGGTATTTCTTTGAAGCGGGTAACTACCATGTGTGACGTGTGCTTGGCTTTCTATTGTTTTTTTCTATAGCATATGACAAAGCTCATTTCCAAGACTTTCTAACCAAACTTCTCCAAAAAAGCTGACCATGTCAGAGCAGTAACCATGGTAAGCACTTTTGAACTCCAGTGAAAATCAGGTAAAATCAAATTTGTATGAACAAACTAACAACTTTCTCCTAAACACCGTTCGGCAGCATTAACTAATGCCAACTCCACAGTGCTTTACACAATCTAAAGACATTTACACTAAATCCTCCAATGCCTGCCTCCAATGGCTACCAGGAAAAAGTGTTCACAAACGGCACAGGGTTAGGGTCAGGCACGTGGTTTCATCGTGAACTACACATGTAGATGGTTGCTAAAATGGCACAAATGAAACCCAGGTTAGCTAACCAAACGCGTGCGTGATATCCTGTCGCAGGCTACTTGCTAACAAATTCACTCCACAAAACACTGTGTTCACGGTGTAAGTCTAGAGACCTTGGCCCAGTCCCAATACTCGCACTTCCACCCTCGCGCCCCTCATTTGCGCGTTCCCGATAAAGGGTGCGAGTGCGTAGGGCGTCCCAATTCTCCAGGGATGTCTTTGGCCCCGCCCCCTTTGCGCCCCTGATCCACACTTCGCCGCAGCCTGCATCTATGCACACTCTGGCGAAGGATATTGCCCTTAACCCTTTCATGCATTGTGGTCACTACAGTGGACAGCTTTTCAATAGTTGCTTTCTTCCATGTGTGAGTTTTAAAGTCCCAGTTGCACTTTAGTCCCTATAGTGGACCCTGGTGTCTCTTCCCATATGCACTGCTACATCCTGGTAAACATACAAATGTAACAAAAAATCCCCAAAAAAGATGGCAGACGAAAGAGAAAATGTGCTTAGTGAAGGAGGAAGATCGGTTCATCATACATTATATTCCAGGAAGGTTTAGCAGGTAAAAAAAATATGTGCACGTCAAGTAACATCTAAGGAGCCATATAATTGTTGAAAAACTCAAGTATTGATTTTCTGTTTTGAGTAAATTTCACCAAAGTGGACGTTGTGCATCACTGGCTATATTTTGAATGAAGTGCATTGTGTTGCTGCAACTTTGTTGTTTCTGGAAATACTTCATTTTCAACACAGTTTTGGCTGCAAATAAATTTGATTATTTGATATATATTGTATCTTGTGAATATTTGGCATATCATGAGAAAAATGATCCTTTTCCATGTGTTTTGTAGCGGTCAGGGCCAGAGCAGAATAGAAAAGCCTACAGGACAGTCCAGGAACTACCATCTGACTCAAGTGAATGATGAAGAATGGTACCAGACAAAAGACAATTAATCAGAATCAGAATCAGAATCATTTTTATTGCCACGTAAGTAACAGGAGGTCACAGACTAGGAAATTGCTTTGGCTCAGTGCAACAGTCAAAAAGAGATAATAAAAATAAGAATAAAAAACACTTCTAAAGAATAAATTTAAATTTAAAATAGAGTTACAGTTACTATTTACAATATACAAGTGCACATGGTGCACACAATGTAAGGTGACAGCAGTACAGTGAAGTAAAGTGACGTATGATGGGCAGTAAAGTGACTTTATAAAGGGCGGGGGGACAGGTTAAGAAGTGTTCAAGAGTCCAACAGCAGAGGGGAAGAAACTGTTCTTGTGGCGGGAGGTTCTAGTCCTGATGGACCGCAGTCTCCTGCCTGAGGGGAGTGGTTGGAATAGTCCATGTGCAGGGTGAGAGGGGTCGGCTGTGATACGACCAGCCCGGCCTCGAGCTTAACAAATTGTAACAGCTGCGACAGTGAAGTTGAAGATGTAGAAGGAGAAGATGCTGAGGCCTTTGAGGTAAATGACGAGGCTGAGGGAGATGGTGCTGTCTGACTTGACCAAGCTCAATAACACAAAATAGTAGATAGCAGACATGTCTGCAAGGCCAAAGATAATAAGTTTGAAGGACAATTTCCTCTTTACTTTTTAGGAGAGTAGGTGAAGTTTGAGGGAGGAGCCCCAATAGATTTCTTCTTTCATTAAATTCCGAATGAGCTGATTGATGACATAATGGTCAACTCAGAACTCCATGCATTGCAAAATGGAAAATAACTTCTGGGCAATACACTGGGTGAACTGAAGAAGTTTCTATGGATTCATTTGGTCATGTCATACTTAAATACCTTGGATGTACAAGCCCATGCAGATGTGAAAGTCTGGTCTTAGTTCTATGCTGATTAGTACCAGCCAAGTTCATTATAGTACAAATGTGTTTTTCTTTGGTTAATGTTTCAGACAACACACTTTACAGTTTGGGAATGTGTTAAAATAATAAAAATACAATGCTGAAGATAAAATCTAAATGTCCTATGGTGTTTACAGTGTTCTCATTCCGTGACTCAAATGCACGTTGTCCACTCTAGTGGACGTGTCACCAACTCCATGGAGAATTCATGTTTTTTCAAAATTAAAATATTTTCTATCTTTTCCTGCCTCAAGAGCAATTAAAACACTTGGGAAAAAAATCTTGAAGAAGCCTATCATAATTCATGCATGAATGGGTTAATTAATGGCTGAAAGGGTTAATTCTTTGCGGTACACACCAAAACGTCAGGAAAATGCATTTAAGTGTAAGTTTTGAAATACATATGCTGTATGTGTGTAAATAAGTTTTGCTATGTTACTTGGAAAGAAGCATAAACGTCTGATGAAGAATTACGGAAATTGTTTTAAAAAAGTTATTAAATTGTTAAAACACAATCGTTTATATAACATTCAATTTAAACTTTACACTCTGTACAATAAACTTACATGTATAAAAACTGACCAGATAACAGTTAGTTACCCACATTTAACTCAAATTACAAATAACCAATATACATGTATTTCAACGTGTGTGGAGCAACTCATTTTGTTTCCCACAGGGTCAAACAAAATTACCTTTAATTTTTTATGAAGTTTAGGTCTGAAAATGACCATCTCTTGACGAGTCGATGACGTAACCTGCACTCAGTGTGCACTGTCCCAATTCCACTCCAACCCTTGTGTGCACTTCAAACAAATGCACACTTTGTAGAGGAGTGTAGGGTGCAGTGTGGGTATTGGGATTGGGCCTTTGAATCACGCATAATGTAATGTGGCATGACAAGAGTTTAAAGTACAGGTGAAAATGTAGCCATTGTCAACAATGCCACCTAGGGTAGGCCTAGGACCCTCCACAAGGCAGACACAGGTTCGTTTCCCTTTTTAAAGTGATTGGGCAGAGACAAAACCAAACCTTATTACAAAAGTAGAAAATTTATTTTGTTTAAAGTGATAGTCTGTAACTCTAAATTAATTACACATTTTAAGAATTGTATTAAACTGACCTCCTGGCCTTAAATGTTGATTCTAATAGTCCCGCCTTCCCTGCTCTTAGCTATAGCTCAGAATCCACGATGCCGTCCACGTTAACCAATCGAGTCATGCCAAGGGCTGTCAATCATCGGCGCTGATGCTCGTAGCTGTGCATGCGCAGTTGTTTGTTTTTACGGAGCCTCCGAATCAAGCCTCTACTAGGCTCTGGAACTACATGAAAACTGAACAAAGAATTCAGGACATCCGCGCTGAGGTACTTATGTTTATACTGAACCTATATCCATAATCAGATCCTCTGCAGATGTGTCCTAAAATGTTCAATCAATGATAATAGCTACTTCCGGGTTTGCCGCGATCGTTTTTTGTGTGCATTAAAACATTATTTTTTTCATGAAAACGTTAACAAATAATTCTGAAAACCTCCGTGCATGTGTATTAATAATGTATATGTATAATGTGTTCTCCGATTAACATTTAAATGTATTACGGAAACGTAGGTGTAGACCAATCAGAAAGGAGGGAGCTTGCGTTGTTTTTTTCAAATAAAGTACCTCTCTCTCTCTTTCTTACAAACTGCAGACAATCACTTAAACAGATTTTTTCTAAGTTAGAACATTTGGAAAAGCATTATAATTGTCAAAAACAAAAGAAAACACACAAGCACACACATACAACATGCAAAGGACAAAACACAAAGGTACACTTAAAGCAATCCCAAACTCAATATTTACAGCTAAAAATGTACATGATTTACAGCTGGGTGACCAGGCGCTCCTCAGCCTATAGGTGCGGTGTCCACAGCTGGAGCGACTCTGGCCTGTGAGGTCTATCCAGAACAGCGGAGGCAGGAGGAGTTGCGCCGGTGGAAACAGTGCTCAGAATTTGGTGTAGTCGTTCTGATTGGCAGTCTCCAAACTGCCGCGGGAGGTGCAGCTCTGTCCCGCTGGAGTGCGGGGAAGCATGGGTTAAACCACTATTAATTAGAATTTGGGAATACATCAGGCAACAACGGCAACTCACCAATCTGAAAAGCACCGGCCCCCCAGACCCTGAACAGAGGCGCGCGCCCGACCTCCACTGTGCGTAATTGCGCACCAACTAAGGAAAATAAGGCTGTTAGGGTGATTGCAGGGGACAGCCAAATGGGTCAAAGGGAAGATGGCACCATGCTTACCCACAAATAACGGCTGAGAAGCGCTAAAGGCTCACGCAGCCCTTCAAAGATGGCCACACTGGAGGAAGCAGGAAAAGCGTGTGAGTGCCAAATGCGCAACAAGTGGAGGTGTGAGAGATACTGTATAATGATGCACACTCACCACAAAGAGCAGAAGGCCTTTCCCAGGGCAGCGCTCACGCAGCACAGGCCCACATGTGTGCCAACAGGGCACCAAACCGCTGCGAGTAGTTTCCCACCAGCACAACTCCCACGGGCCCAAGGGGCTGTCACTTCCCGCAGGAGAGGCAAACGAGTGAGAGCCATCAGACTCGAGCCTAAAAACCCTCGGTCCTGCCCCTGCAATTAGTGGCAGGCAGGTGCGTGAGGAGGTGCTTCGATGAAACAGGTAAGGGGAGGGCAGACGCACTCCACACTGCCACAGTAACATTAGCCTCCAAATGCATATGTTGACATCGATTAACTAGCCAGTCAAATGTGCAATGTAAACACAACAACGCGACAGAGTTTCGCTAATATTATATTTAGTTGAGGGAAAGAGCACTAGTCCAAAACTGGACCTGACTTTCGGCTTGTACCACAGGGACTCTTTATGCTGCGTTCAGACCAGATCATGCGTTGCGTCGGCTTTCAATGCAAAGTCAATGGTGACGCGCGTTCGAGCGGCAAAACGCACGAGCGTCTCGGAATGCACGCAAGGACTGCTGAGTAGAGACGCACAGACTGCACGGCAAAGTCGAAGGGGAAGAGCAGGAGCGGAAAATCAACGCACGCAGGAGATAACATTACTCAACCTTTCCTCGAGACGTTTGTGCAGCGACCAGAGAGCGGCAAAGTGGTCACGAGGACATTAGTGGTCTGAGCGAGCAGACTGAACATACTCGTAAACAGCCAAAACAGGAGCTACACCAGGACTAAACCAGGGTTGACAATGGGGGACATAGTGCTTGTTAACATGTGAGTTGTCATGCTCCCGTGACTTTATGCAACTGCTTCAAGTGTGTTCACCGATGCAGAAGTACCGTTTAATAATAAAATAAACTTATTGTGCACCTCCGTGAACACATACTGCTGTTGTATAAAGTCCGTGCAAGGTCTCTGAACACATACACGCTGCATTATTGGAGAAGATCCGGTCCTCAGGTCCCTGCACTGGCTTCCTGTGGCTCAGAGAATACACTTTAAAACAGCTCTGCTTGTGTACAAGTCTCTCCATGGCCTCGCACCAAAATATATTAGTGACATGTTAGTCCCATATGAACCAGCCCGGACTCTGAGGAGCACAGGGACTGGACTCCTGTTAGTGCCCAGAGTCAGGACTAAACATGGGGAGGCTGCTTTTCAGATTCATGCTGCTAAAATCTGGAACAGTCTTCCTGAAGATGTGAGACAGGCCTCCTCTGTGACAATGTTTAAAACCAGGTTAAAGACAATTCTGTTTAGCTGTGCATACAACTGAGGGATTTTATATTTTTAGCTTTCTTTTAAATGTTCTGTGATTATTTATGATTTTAATGCTTTCTTGTTTTGTTCAGCACTTTGAGTTGCCTTGTGTATGAATTGTGCTATATAAATAAACTTGCCTTGCCTTGCCTATCCGTACACATGAAGCCGCTAACTTGACTCTGTTAGCATCAGAGCCCGCCGGCACGCACCAGGACCTCTGGTCTGAAGACCCCTGCGTCTGAAAACTAAAGAATGTGCGTCTGGTGAGCGAGGCTTCAGCGTTTCAGCGTTGGGGGTCTGAAAGCGGCATTAGTTTGAATGCTGTCTGCTGCCATGACAGAAACCAGTGAGAAACAGAAACTAAAAACTAATAAAATGGGTCAAACTATAATCTGTCAATGTGCAAAAAGTACGCTGCATTAAATACGGGAATTAGATGAAACAAATTAGTTAGGCTATCCCTACTTACCTCCTCTCAAAAGCAGTGCGACCGCAGCTCCTCCAAGCAGTCCGCATATGACGTCACGCGAGGATTTTCATGTTGAGCAAACTCAATACTTCTCCGTTGTCCAGTTATGCCAGAATATCAAATTCAAATTAGTTATAAAAATGACTTTGGATTCTTGTATTAACTTTTAATTGAGACGGGTATGTTTAAAATGAGTCACAACCACAAGTAAAACTGGCAAAAATCGATTATTGAGTTTAGTTCAGTAAGTATTTTGAGTTCAGAATACTAACCACCTGAATTGTTTCATAGAATGTAGTAAACCTATGTATGTAGGTTTTAAACCTCCATCCATCCATCCATCCATTTTCTTCCGCTTTATCCGTTGCCGGGTCGCGGGGGCAGCAGTCTAAGCAGAGACGCCCAGACTTCCCTATCCACACACACTTCCTCCAGCTCATCCGGGGGGACCCCAAGGCGTTCCCAGGCCAGCTGAGAGACATAGTCCCTCCAGCGTGTCCTAGGTCTTCCGCGGGGCCTCCTCCCGGTGGGACGTGCCCGGAACACCTCCCCAGGGAGGCGTCCAGGAGGCATCCGGAACAGATGCCCGAGCCACCTCAACTGGTTCCTCTCGACGTGGAGAAGCAGCGGCTCTACTCCGAGCTCCTCCCGTGTGACTGAGCTCCTCACCCTATCTCTAAGGGAGCGCCCAGCCACTCTGCGGAGGAAGCTCATTTCGACCGCTTGTATCCGCGATCTCGTTCTTTCGGTCATTACCCAAAGCTCATGACCATAGGTGAGGGAGGGAACGAAGATTGACCGGTAAATCGAGAGCTTTGCCTTTCGGCTCAGCTCCCTCTTCACCACAACGGTCCGATACAGCGACCGCATAACTGCGCACGCTGCACCGATCCGCCTGTCAATCTCACGCTCCATCCTTCCCTCACTCGTGAACAAGACCCCGAGATACTTGAACTCCTCCACTTGAGGAAGGACCTCTCCACCCACCTGCAGAGGGCAAGGCACCTTTTTCCGGTCGAGCACCATGGCCTCGGATTTGGAGGTGCTGATTCTCATCCCAGCTGCTTCACACTCGGCTGCAAACCGTCCCAGTGCATGCTGCAGGTCCTGGTTCGTTGGAGCCAACAGGACAACATCGTCCGCAAACAGCAGAGATGAAATTCTGTGGTCTCCGAACCGGACCCCCTCCGACCCTTGGCTGCGCCTAGATATTCTGTCCATAAATACAGTGAACAGAACCGGTTTTTAAACCTCGTTTGTCAATATTGTCTTTTAACTAATCAGATCATTTTGAATTTTGCACTTTAAGGAGTTTTTTGACATGACAGTTCAGAGTATATTTTTTAATTTTAAATGTTTTTATTTTTTTTGTTTTTAACAAAAGACGATTGAACACGGATTTCCAATTTGCTGTCTGTGAAAGCCATTGATATATTTGTTTACAATGTACAAAATGTCAAACTTTGATAAGACCAAGGGGTGTAACACGTACAAAATGGTGACTGCACTTTTTTAATAAATTGTTTTATTTTTTTAACCCATTGATTACCATAAAAGTCTACTGACACAAAGGACACGGCAATTCAGGACCAAGCCATTATTGTAACATCAACATTGTTTAGTGTTTAACGACATTTCTTAAGTGACAACATCATTAAGAAGGCAAGGACAAAATATCAAATCAGGTTTTATTTTTAAAAATGTAGCATATATAAAAAACAAAAAGAAGTGTAACATTACCTACTCGTTACCTTGAGAAAAGGATTACTGTGAAAAAAAGAGAAATCGTAAAAAGGAAGACATTTTAAAGAACGTTCAGTGATGGGAATAACGGCGTTACTAGTAACGGCGTTACTAACGCCGTTACTTTTTTCAGTAACGAGTAATCTAACTAATTACTTTGACAGTAACTATAACGCCGTTATCATTTCCGACATCCCGTTACTGCGCGTTACTCAAGACGCACAATGAACGTGTTGTCATGAGAGAAGGGAGGATGAGAAAACCTCTCAGCAATTATTGGCTGATGTAAATCATATTTCCTTTACAATCTACATGTCTACAGTTGAGAGGATGGCTCATAAATTGTGTTTTTGAAAGAAATATGGGTCTTAATCGCGCTCAACCACGGCTTGTATCACCGTGAGGCTATGGCGCCAGATTTACGCCAAAAGTCCACACGCTCAAATAACACATACACGCGCAGCTTTATTTAATTCACACGCGCGCAAACTACTCTCCACGCGCACATTTCACACCACACGCGCGCAGACTCAGTACCACGAGCAACAATACGCGCGTGTGTGCGCTCGTGACCTGCCCTCTTCCTTCTCGTGGTCTGTGTTCTGCGCGCGTTGAACACTTTTGCCATCTCTTCTACGCGCGCGTGAAATACTTTTGTCGCTTGGGGGCGGGGCCAGTGAAAGGTAAACACTGGGTTTCTTTCTGGGCGACGTCACAGGCAAGTTGTATGTGCATAGCCGAGTGGCTAAAGAAGGAAGAACACTGGAGCAGACTTTGTGTTTGTGTCCTACATTATCTAATAATCAAAAAGTCCAATCCATAAGTAATCACTAGGTTACATGATGTCACTAGATGTAGTTATCATGATCAGTCAAGTTAAAGCAAGCTCAAACAGCTAAAATGCTAACCGGAGTTAGCATTTTAGCTGTTTTGCTAAGTTAGCTAAGGAGGCTCCTTCGTTTTAGTCTGAGGAGAAACAGCTGTTCATGATTTAGCCTGTGTAGCCTTCTAGTCACAACAAAAGCACATAAATACTTTAGTGCTAAAGTATTCAGCTCTAAAACCACAAAGTGTGTGGTGTTTTTCCTTGATTACAACAACTGGAGAACAAAAGTGATCAACCTGTATACCACTAAAAAGGCAATAATAACTTGAGCTAATGTTGCTTTTTTCCTTTATCAGGAGAACCATAGTCTGTGCCTTGCATCTGTGGAGAGGACTGCTGAGCTGAATGCATGGAGAGACGTGATGTGGATTTATGTTTTCTTTTATTTTGTGCATAACTACTAGTAAAAGTCATCCAGTGATCCTCCTTGTGTCATGGTCCTTCTTCAGACAGCGCAGAACATGGAACACAACGCAGATTACACTAATAAAGGGGTTAACAGGTGTGCACCAGGTCAAGACTGTAATTGAACAATAAAAACAAGTTACAACGGTGCCCACACCCGTTACAAGTCCATTTCCTGCCATACAAGAACAGTTCAGGGTAAGGATGTACCCCAAGTCTTTGTGGCCATAGTTACTCCCAGGCATCATGAGGCTTTGACTTAATGCCCACTCTCTGACTGGGGAGCACATCTGCCTCAAAACACGGAACTCAGTACCAGAGTCAAAGTATTTCACATTCTTTACATAACACATAATT